ACATTCACTCACAAAATTCAACACAATATTAAAACTATTCATGAAGATCCAATATATGTTAAATCTTATAGTACATAAAATGGAAGTAAATAAACAGATAAAAGATATGCTAGAACAAAAAATAATTTTCCACAGTACTTCTCCTTATTCTGCACCGATTTGGGTGGTGCCTAAAAAGCTAAATGTTTCAGGTAAAGAAAAATGGAGAATCGTTGTAGATTACCGAAAGTTAAATAATATCACTGTGGATGACAAGTACCCCGTTCCAAATATGGACGAGATACTTGACAAGTTAGGTAAATGTCTATACCTTACGACAATTGATTTGGCGCAAGGATTCCACCAAATCGAAATGGATCCTATAGATAGACAAAAAACCGCTTTTTCTACTCAAATTGGCCACTTCGAATTTTTGAAAATGCCATTCGGTTTAAAAAATGCACCAGCCACTTTCCAAAGGCTCATGAATGCAGTTTTGAAAGGTCTAATTGGGAAAGATTGCATGGTTTATTTAGATGACATAGTAGTTTTCAGTACATCTCTGCAAGAGCACATCGAATCGCTCGATAAAGTGTTTCAAAGATTAGCTGAAGCGAATCTAAAAGTACAGCCGGACAAAAGCGAATTTTTAAAACAAGAAACCGAGGGCCATGTTATTACCCCTACTGGCATAAAACCAAATCCAAATAAAGTCGTGGCAATTTTAAATTATCCAATTCCCAAAACGGAAAAGGAAATAAAACAATTTTTGGGTTTAGCGGGATTTTACCGTAAATTTATTCAAAATTTTTCAAAAATAACAAAGCCTTTAACGAATTGCTTAAAGAAAGGCAATGTGGTGAATAGTTCAGATAAAGAATTTATCAGAGCCATAGAAACTATTAAGTTATTAATAACAAAAGAGCCGATACTGGCGTATCCAAATTACGAGAAGTTATCTACGTTAACGACAGACGCCTCTAATGTAGCATTAGGAGCAGTGTTAAGCCAAAATGGGCATCCGATATCCCAACAGAAAAAGAGCTCTTGGCAATGGTATGGGCTACGAAATACTTTAGACCGTATTTATACGGCAAAATTCTTAATGAATAGTGATCATCGCCCTCTGCAATGGTTACATAATTTAAAAGAGCCAAATGCAAAACTGCAACGGTGGAAGATTAGGTTGAATGAATACGATTTTGATATTAAATACATTCCAGGTAAAGAAAATAATGTTGCCGATGTGCTATCTCGGGTTAGAATTGAAGAATGTAACGTTAATGAAGAAACTGCTTCGAATGTAGCCACAATCCATTGCGCTGACGAAGACTCCGGCGAGTTTATTAGAATTGCCGAAAGGCCATTGAACGTATTCAAAAACCAAATTAAGCTAATAAGATCTAACCAAAATTGTACTAACACATGCAAAATATTTTCTAACAACTACTTACTACTATATATTATACGGAACTAACAACTGAATATATAAAGGACTTAATTAAAACTCATTTGTTAAACAAAAATACAACAATACTTATGACCGATGACGACGAATTTGTAAAATTTCAAAACATTTATAAAACTCTAATTACTTCAAACAGATTTAAAATTTACCGAACCATGAAAGAATTAGAAAATATTGAAGATTATTCTGCCTTCAAATCCAAAATATTAGAAATTCACCTCGAAGGACTGCATCAAGGAATCGAAAAAGTAGCAAACTGTTTCAAACAAAAATACTATTACCCTAATTACCTTAAAGAGATAACTAAAATAATTAATGAATGTGAGTTATGCAACCATTAAAAAAACGACCACATCTCGAACAAATTACCATTTAAAGTTACGCCTCCTGTGTATGAGACTCGAGAAAAGTTTGTAGTAGACTTTTGGAAATGGGATGATGAAAATTATCTAACATGTATTGATTTGTTTTCCAAATTTGCGACAGCTGAAAAAGTATCAGCTTTAAATTGGTTAGAAACTAAGAAAGCTCTCCTAAAGATTTTTAATTTTATGGGACCTCCGAAGACATTAAAAATAGACCAGGACCAAGGTATCAATAATGTTAGCATAAAGCAGTGGTGTCAACAATTGAATATAGCAGTCGAAGTCACAACTGGGAAAACTGGTATTGGTGACATTGAGCGGTTTCATAAAACAATGAATGAAAAATTGCGAATTATTTGTAGTTCTGGGGATAAAGAGTTGAAATACCTTCAAATTGAACAAGCATTATTTACCTACAACCATATTATTTCTCATTCCACTACCGGTGAAAGTCCGTAAAATATATAAAAAATAGAAAACATCCAAAAACCAATCCCCAATTAATTAAAAGAAGAAGGATAAATAACATATATCAAAACCGACAAGAAAAAGAAATAGATACGAATTTTGTTAGCGCCGAAACCTCTAGGAAAAGATTGGATAAGATTAGTAACCCTTATAAAAATGTACGGCTTGTTCAAACCGAACCTGATGGGGAACATCATGTAGTAAAGTTTAAAAACAGGAAACTAAGAAAATATAAAAGCCAATTTAAAAGAAAGAAAAAATATGTATAACTGATTTATGTTTTTAATTAATAGTTTTAAGTATTTTGTAAAAAAAAAAAAAAAAAAAAAATTTTGTAATATTATTGAGAATTATATGAATTTGTTAATTTTTTTTTAATTCTACACATTTTGTAAATAATAAAAACAAAAAACTGCAATGAGGACATTGCAATATTTTTAGATGGGAGGAGTGACATTGCTACACTCACTCAAATCATAAATATCTCTAATACGCTCTCATACGATATGAGTAAAAACAATCAAGGTAGAAGTTGTTATCGGGAGTTTAGTTTAGTTCTTAAGCAAACATTCAAATGAAATAATGTAAATTAAGCATACAATTGTTAATAAATATAAAATTAAATCGTATAGTTTAAAAATATTACTTGTGTATACCTATAAATCAAAGCGCGCACACATAGTGTATTGATAAGTGATAATATCATGATTTGAATTTCTGAATACATACATTCAAATGAGCATGTGCAGATATACATATGACTATGTAAGATTAATATGATAAAAGATGTACATATGTATATGTTTTAATAAATTTATAATATAATAATAATATTTTGAAAATTCCATAATTTAATTAGCCTTTTCAGTTTTGCATGCATTCATAAAAATGCGCATAATCAAAAAATATGTTTGCATACAAGCGTATAAAAATATGAGCCAAAAGGCTCTGAGCATAATTTTCATTGAATGCTCAGCTCTGTACCCTCGCCACTGTTAAAATTTCTCCTTCCGAGCTAGCTGCGGTGAAATTCACTATTAAAATATTGTTAGGTTTTGACAATTCACACGCTGGTCCGCAATTGAACCTTCTCCATAACATACGTTCTCTGCCTGTACGACCTTGCACGTAAGACTGAGCATTATATGAAAAATTCAAATCATGATTTTATCACTTATCAATACACTAAACTACAAACATTGTTCTACAAAAAAAAAAAACAATGGTCACAAGTCTATATGTCAGCCAAATAGACAAAGCTCAAATTTATAGTAAATTACACAACATTTTCATTCATAAACGCTAGTGTATTTTCAACAAGCAACCTCGCTTCATTCATAAAAACAAATACCCTCACATCTCCTCGAGCATGCGTTTGCCTACAAGCATCTTTTCGTGACGATGGCAAAAGCTAAAAATCAGAAATTGAACAAATTTTTGATGTTCCCTCTAGAAGGGAAAAATTACATCCCCGCTGATATGAGTATTAAAATATTTTAGAATAAAAGTGACAACATAGTATATATGTCGGTTTACAATTCAAGAAACTTTTTAAAAAAAATTTCAATATTCCTCTGATTTAAGCATACAGTAAACAACGGTTAAATACCACTTCTCCAATCCCTTTTATCTGCCTGTGTCTTGCTGCATCTCACGTTTTTCTTTAAATACATAGAAATTATTATTTTTTGGTACCACAATCGCTTATTACTGCAAAGCACAAAAAATCTGCATCTTTGGTTTTGGCACTTAACCGGGATTGACTGTATTTGTCAAAGAATGTAAGTATGTAAATATTCAAATATTTTGTACAAACATCTGCCAATATGTATGCAGATGACATGTTGACTTTGTTTCCATTTACGCATGCCGCGTTGTATATGAATAGGGGTTGATTTTGCACTTGCCCATATGTGATGTATGAGATGTACAAAATCAAACCCAGAGATCTGACTGAACTGAAGCAGTCCATTAAATAGATAATTGAGGCAATCTCGATTTCAACCCTTCAGCTCGTAATTAATAATTTTCTAATTAGGTGTCGCATATGCGTGGCTGAGCATGGAGGTCACTTCTTTTACAATAAGAAATAATAAATGTAATGCATTGATTAAAATAAAACTTATTACGGTTTATTTTTGTAGCACGATTCGTGAGCCGCCCTGTATATGCAGAATATCTTAAAATTATATGCAAAGTCGTTTGCGCATTGTAAATAAACGAATATGTAAGCGTACATTTCTTAACATTGAAATTAGCATTATTTTTCTCATTTAACACTCAAAATGCTTAATTCTGTTATTTTGCGCTCCGCAGGGGTAAAGCTCTGGTGAAATCCGCTTATAATTTGTTTGTGGTGAAATCCTCTTAAGTTCGCGAGTAACCCTCCGTCAAGCGGACCATTTTGACAATCGGCTTACAATGAACCTTCTCTATGGTATACGTTCTCTGGTACGGGCCACTAAACATGATTTTTCCATAAAATTTGCGTAAATGACAAGAAGAATGGAAAAAATGTAACTGAAAAACTTGCATGAAATTTAATTTCTTAAAAAAAAGTTTCTTGAGCTAAATCGATAACTCCAATACTGCTGGAAATATTTCAATTTTAAGTTTGTGAAGTTTTAAAATTTTTGTAAATTTTTCGTAAAATTGTATACATTATCGTTCTTTCCATATTTTTTACTACTTTTTAAACTAAATACTTTATTTTTTTACAGATGGAAGTTTTAACCCTTCAATAATTTCCCTTTATCAATAATTTTGTACAAATTTTGGGTATTTAAGTTAAAAGCATCCTAGTGTTGTTAGAGGATGTGTTCCAGGTTAACAGCATACACATGCCCTCTCAATAGTTACCACCTTCACTATTGTAAGGGTTTTGAATTTTAGGTTTACCGTAAATTCAAAAGCTCATAATTTTAGCATAAATATGTGACGTCTGAAAGCAACCCTCACAATACATAAACAGTTGTGTATGTTTGGTTTATTGCAATATTTTTAATAAAATTTGAAAATATTTGATTGAAATAGAATGGAGGAACTTTTTTAAATTACTAAGTGTGAATAAAACGGCATATGTGGTTAAAGAATTCGGCAACAAAATTATTTGTAAATATGTATGTACGTATATAATATATGAACGAATAAAAAGATATTTATGCTTAAATAAAACAGTAATTTTAGTATATAGGTATACATATTTATTATGTAATAATCGCATTCTCAAGGATCTGGGGAATTCTTTACACGAAAATATTATATAATCCTAACAATTACTAGAACACATCAAATACGAGACAATACAAAACACACACAAAGAAGCATAGTATGCATGCAATACACATGCATTCAACATTTAACAATACAAAATAAATGTAACTATTTCAAGAACTTGCATATTAACAAACAAAAGTATGAATTGTTAACCGCATGCATTGAGTTGTACATTTAAACACAACCGATATCGCATAACACATACACATGATGAAAATAGTGAAATAAAACCACATTTTGTAAGCCTAAAAATAAATATTATATAATATTAAATATTATATTTACATCAAAATTATTAAATTTGCGAAATTACTTACTTTTTCTTGGCTGTCCATTTTTTATTTTCCTTCGTCTATTTTTATAAAACAGCTGTTGGACAGCAGTACGCTTTTCACCTTACGTGATGACGTTTTTAAGCTCTTTCTTATGAGGTTCAAGCAAGCATAACTTCACAAGAACTATCAGACATTTTTTCTCTCAAATAAGTTGTGAGGTTTTCTTAGAATAGTGCTGCCGTTGGCTCACAGCTTTAAATTTCATAAATTTTCCAATTTAGAAGGGAGAGGTGAGTCCCTACTCAATTTGATTTTACAAAGTAATCTAGTGGTAGCTAATCGAGGTGAGAAACCTACCCATATAGGACCGTCCTTTAGAAACGTCCTAGACATAACGCTTTATACTATTAGAGATGCAATGGTAGAGAATTGGAGCGCGCTAAGCACACAGTCATTCTCTGACCATAAGTATATCTACTTCTCCATTAGATCCAAATCAAAGATCAGACACTTGACACTTTGGTAACTCTCATCTTTTAATGCTTGGTCCAGCACTATTCGTCATATCAATTTGAGAGAAGTACATAAAGCAAAGCATTTATTCAGACATACCCTCTGCTTTCTTCGATTTGTTGCTAAAGTATAAATTAACAAATAACAAGTGCTGCCATACCTGCATATTTTGAAAACGAATCAAAGAAAAAAAATAATAAGGGTATTCAGACCGGACATGTTAATCTGATAATTCGTTAGTTGATACTTTATTAAAACACTTTTCTGTAAACATACCTTTTGCTCTATCTCAGTAGTGTGGCAAATTTTGTTCCAAAACAGTAGATTCAATTTAATTAAATACTTATTTTTGAAAAATGTGTAACTTTAAGGCAAGCAGCAAATGTATGTTTTCGCAATGAATCAAATGAACTTTGTGGGCTACGACCCAAAACAAACAGCTGATAGCTTGATGTTACCAAGTAACGAAAAAATTATCGATATTCTATTAATTTTACAATAACAAAATGCACGTAAAAAACTACCGAATAACGACTAACGAATTAACAAAGCTAGTGTGAATACTACTGCTAATAAGGAATAAAGTAAAATCGACAATGAATTACCAGAATCATGCTGGAGTTAGTGACCGACGTGCCGCCCTTCCGTACTTACCGTCCGTATTAAACGAAACTTGTCAAATGTCATGCCCGTAGTGACAACATAGGAATCAGTTGTTCCCTTTTGTTGTCATTTGAGCAAGGCCACCATTGCACAGTTTGTATACAAGGTTTTGAACACATCTAATTTTTAAGTTATAATTCTTCATAATGTAAAAGATCAAATGTAGAATCCAACTATTAAAAGTAATGTACCTGTTTATAAATAATTGTATTCAAATTAATTTAAAAATATTTCAAATATATTTAAGTTTAATTTTTTATTACTACAAAATATTGAGACTGGCAACCCTGCGTACTTAGAGAGCTGAGTCGTTTCTATGGGGAAAAATCCAATCAAAGTTCGTAAGAATGGGTAATGCAAAATCCTTGAAAACTTCTTTTTCTGACAGACCACATAAGCTGGAAATAAACACACTTTCCTAAAGAATACGTATTATTACCGAAAATATTCGAACTGTACTTACATGTACGCTGCAGTTACACGATCAAGAAAAGATTTAAATTGACAACCGTGACGTAGGCTGCAAGCAACTTGATAATCAATAATAGTTTCAAGATGCCGTTGTCATGGAAACTTCTTAAAATTTTTACACGAAATTAATAATATACTGTATTGATATACTTACATTTTAATATCAATCCATGAATATAACAAAATATTCATATTACTGACAATTCCATGTCATTTGTTTGCAAAATATGCGATCAGCTGTACAAACTTGATCGTCAACTTACCACTCGACTTCAATGAGAAAATTAATATCAAGACGGCTTTTAAGCTCGAAAAGTGCGAGTGCGGTAGTAGAATAGTGTGAGTGTATTGCAACTTGAAAGCATATTCTTGATCGTGTAACGTCCGGGTTACATGAAAAATTGACGCAGCTGTCGGTGTAATTCCCTATTGTAATCAGCCATGTTCTGCATTTATCTCTCACATACAAACGAAGTGATTCGGTTTGAAAATCGAATTCGCCTTTTACAGAAATGAAATAGCTTTTTGATGATTTCGTAAGAAAGGCCTTCGGTTCTGAAAACCGAATTCAGATATTTAAATGTTATTTGAATATTAAAAATTTATACCGTGTGATTTCTTCTCTGCGTACATGCCAATAGGAGATATGTGGGGGGAGGAAGTTTGGACGGATAGTTTTTTTGTTAAGAGCTCTCTATTAACTTTAGCTTCAGGATGCCAGACCACTGTAGTATTTTTCAAGCAGAATTGACTGCAATTAAGTTAGCAGAAGATGCAATGTTCCGAAGTACAGCCTATTTCAAGGAGGTGATCATTCACTCCGACAGCAAAGCGGCAATACTAGCATCTAGTTCGCCAACTATGAGCTCAAAGTTCGTCAAGAAGTGTCTGCCCTCAGTATCAATAGCATCATTATATTTAATTAACATACTCGTTGGAATTGCTGGAAACTGCAAAGCCGATAAGTTCGCAATAAGTGCAGGCCTGATGCATTTCAGCGCGGGCTGTGTGGACCTTGCGTAAGCTCAGAAAACGTTAGTTAACAACCAGCACCTGTTTCATAGCTATATTTTCTGAATCAAAGTGGTATGTAGGCATGAGGCAACGAGCGAAAGCTGATGTATATCCCCAGTTATCCCCTTATAGGGGACTGCTTTATATGCATCCTCAAAAAGAAGTAAATACAACGACTCAAAGGTAAGTCCAACCTAAAGGGAGAAGAAGTGAAACGCTTGGCTTGGGCCAGACAAAGAAAAGGTGAAAAACGGCCGAAGGTTGAAGATCATATCGCTGGAAAGAGGCAGCGTTCGACGGAAGCGAACCGAAGGCGCCTTTGAAAAAGATGAAGTGTACAGACATAGCCGAGAAGCTAGACGTCAAGCACGTGGACGACAAACCGACAACGTTCAAGGTAGCGGCGGCCGCTAATGAGAACGCGAAACGACATTTGATGGTCACACTCACTAACCCTCTGGGACAGATGTCGCAGGAGCAAAATTGTAAAGCGGAAATAGTGGAGATGAAGCTATTGGAAGCCCTCTTCTCGAGGATGAACGACATAATCCTGAAGTGTAACGATGACGCGACGCTAACATGGATAAGGGAAGCAGTTCGAAATCTTTCTAGTCTTACAGGAGGTGGGGTGAGTGGGTTACTCAGTAAATTGATGGTCCAAAACCGAGAGCTAAGGAAAGGGCAGCTACGACGTGGTTTCAGTCCAGGAAATATGGATAGTATTGGTTAACGTGATTGCTGGGCTAAAGTCACAAAATACACAACATACACACCGGGCGGAAATAACCAGGTAAGAACGGCGATATTGGTGAAGAAAAATCTAAATTCCCATCCTGATGGTTGTGGCAGTGAAGGGTGTCAAGGATGAGCCTTCACTCCTTGCATTCTGTTATATGCCACACGATTGCGAGGTACCAACGGCAGAGCTCCAAACGCTGACGGTTACATCCAGCAGAAGAAAGCAGGCGTTGGTGTTGGGCGCTGATGCTTAGAGAGGTTAGTGCCTACTCAATTTAATTTTACAAAGTTGCCTAGTGGTAGCTAATCGAGGTGAGGAAATTACTTATATAGGACCCACCTCCAGCAACGTCCAAGACATAAGGCTCTATACCAGTAAAGATGCAATAGTAGAAAATTGGAGGGCATTAAACCTAAGGGTAATTTTTTGATCATAGCTACATCTACTTCTCCATTAGATTGGTTTCAAAGTTGAGACACGAGGTTAGGAGAAATCCCAGAAGTACAAACTAGGATCTCTACAGGCAGATAGTATTAGGCAAGAGACTTCGACGTTGCGCATATAACTCACATGAAGAGCTTGAAAAGGGCGTGACTGTATTCACGAATGCCTTTAATACAGTTTTTCATAACGATTCCCCTACGCTGCGACTCAAGCATAAAACGAAGCTCCTTGGTGGAACAATTAGCTCGGGTCTTGCCGACGCAGAGTATGGGAATGTTTCAACTGGGCGAAGCTAGCGGAAAGCAGGTACTGTTGGAATGAATATAAAGATCTTCTAAGGGACTACCAAAAGTTGGTACGTAGGACAAAGCGGCAATACTGAAAAAACTTTTGTAGCAGCTTTGAAAAGACCCACAAGGTGATGAGGCACAGGAAACTATTATCCAAAAGACCCGCCTCGCCCGATCTAATTCGCAAGAGTAGCGGATAGTGGGCAGATAACTGTGAGGACTTATAAGAAAACCTAGTCAGTGTGCCCTTTCATACATACATCGAATACATTATTACGGATAATAAAATAAAATGGGGAATTCGCTCATTCGATCCATACAAATCTACCGGTACGGACGGAATCATTCCAGCAGTGCTGCAAAATGCACTTTATCTATCCGTGCCGTACATGAGGTCGATTTTAAGGAGATGGCTGAATTTCAGCTATACACTGCACTCTTGGAGAGAGAGGCTAGGGCATGCTCATACCGAAGGCAGGTAGAAATAACCCAGTGGACTCGAAAGCTTAAATTCCTTCCTGTTGAAAACATTAGAGAAAATCCAGCGCCCCCTGGAAGCTTGTCCAAAGTGCAACAGTCATACACTAAAGGCAGAAAGCATATGCATCTAGGCAGATCTCTCTCTCTCATGCACTGGTGCTACACAGATATTGTAAGACCAATTTTGCTTTACGCTGTAGTAGTATGATGGACAGGCGTACGGAAATCTACCTGCTGGAAGCCAATGGAACGGATTCAGAGGCTCGATACACTATGTTTAACGGGGGCTCTAAGAGCCTCTTCAACGGCGGCTCTTGAACTAGTGCTACCAGCCAAAAATCGGCGGGGCGACTATTCACTTCAGGAGAAGTTACATATACAGTCATAGTCAAAAGTTAACTTACAGCAGCTACATCCTTCTTAAACAAATTACTTTTTGTTTTTAATGGAAAAATCATTTAATTTTTTTTTATACTACCTTATAAAGAAAAATTAAAACTAACATTTTGTGTGGCCACCATTAGACTTTATAACGACTTTCACACGCCTTTGCATGGAGCCAATCAAATTTTGAGTAAACTCACTTGAAATTTTCGCCTATTCTTCAGTCAGGGCGTTCCGCAAATAATTTTTTGAGGTTATGGGTCTTTTTCTTTTAAATTTTGAAAAGTGAGTCAGATAAGTCAAATGTGCTGGAATGAGAATTAAAATCATGACATATACGGCGGAATGGCTCGTTTAGTTCAAAATTTGATCTACAGGATTTTAGCAGTAAAGGTCTAAACTGCCTCGAAAAGCGAACCGGGATATTAAATTTAATTTCAGACAGGAGAAAAGAACTGCAAACAGTTCCATTCAAAAGTTTCACTAAGAATATTATGCCAGGCATTTCCCTACGACTAGAAAGTGTGGTTAGATTAATAAGTTTTAAACGACTAGTGTATGGAGGTAGACTTACCCTAGCATCCCATCGGAAATGCGCTAAGGCGAAAAGTAAAAATTGTTTTTGAACAGACTCTAACTTGTCAGAATGGATTTGGTAGCTAGGGTTCCATACCACAGAGGCATATTCCAATATAGGTCTAATCAAAGTTGTATAAAGTGTTTTAGTAATATACGGATCTCTAAATTCTTTAGACCAACGCTTAACAAAACTGAGGACAGCTTTTGCTTTCAAGACCATGGTATCAATATGAAGACTGAAATTAAGCTTAGGGTCAATATTAACTCCCAAATCAACATAGTTAAAAACTTGCTGTAGAATATGGTGTTTTATTACATAATAAGAGGGGTGCACAGATCTACGGGAAAAGCACATCGTCTTACATTTATTGAGATTCAATGGCAAATCATTTCTATCACACCATGCAACCAAATTGTTTAAGTCTGTTTGCAACAGACACCTTTCTTCAGTTGAAGTGTATGATTTAAAAAGCTTTACGTCGTCAGCGTATAATAAAATTTTTGAGAATTCTATTACTGAAGAGATATCGTTAATAAACAAGAAGAACAGAATCGGGCCAAGATGACTACCTTGCGGAACA